TTACACGAGCAACTTTTCCTTGTCAAGGAAAACTTGCCAAGGAAAAATTGCTCGTGTAAACGGCGCTTAATTAAGACATTTAGCGAAAGGCACCCGATGTGAAGGGCCCCTTATCTTCAAACTATTCTGATTCACTAGATTAAATCTAATAATTATCGAATGACTTGAGACTATCTAATCACCCACGTACAATTGTACAATATTATATGATATAGAAATGAAAGAAAGTTATAGTGCTTAGAAGGAGGCAAATCCGGGAGAAGTCCCTTAGGAACAAATTCGGAAAAACCAACCTCCGACCTCGCTGGGATTCGAACCCACGACCTTAGGATTTGTACACCGATGCTCTACCAGCTGAGCTACAAGGCCAGACTGGGAGCAGGTCGGRGTGAAATAGACGTTAAGGTTGCGGTAATAGAATAATGTAAAGATATGAATATGAAGACCGCATGGCACTATGATAAACATGATATAGAAATGAAAGAAAGTTATAGTGCTTAGAAGGAGGCAATACAATATTATAATGTACAATATTATAATTTTTTGTCTTTTAGTTGCCAGATGTACTTAGAAAGTTCGGTGCTGTTGATGTGTTTTCTGTGTTTAAATGTAGATTTGTGCTGCGAGAATCTTTGTTTGAATGTTCCTTCTGTCAGTCCGATGTAGTTCTTGGTTGTGTTGCTGGTTGTGACTTGCGCGTTGTAGATTACACTGGAAGTTAAGCATTTGTCGTCTAGCGGGCATTGGTCTTTATTGCGGCAGTTGCATTGTTCTCCGGTTGTTGCGTTGGCGTTGTTGTCGGCGTTTGTTACTTTCATGTTGTGTTTGTTGATAACTGTTTTCATGTTGTCCATACAGCTGTAGCTGACTTTTACGTTGTTTTTGTTGAAGAGGCTGTGGTATTTATGCTGGTTCGGGAAGTGCTTAGATATGAGTTTCAGGAATGTTCTGCCAATGTTCGTCTTAACGTTTTTACTGAAAGGAGGGTTGTACCATATAATGTTTCTTTGTCTGTTGCGTCGGGGGCGTGCTGGTTGATTGTCTTTGTTGTATATTAGTGTTGCAGAGTGTCCGCTGGCTTTCAGAGCAGTTTCGTAGATTGGTTTGGCCTTGTTAAATTCGTGTTCGTTGCATGAGTTGTCGGAGATGCGGCGGTTGATGGATGCTGGAAGTTGCTTTAATATGTTAGGCGGGTGGTTAGACTTTGTGTTGATGTACAGTGGTTCGTTGTTCGGCTTTCTGTAGGGGCAGTAGGTACCTTTTGTTAGGTCGAAAGTGACGTCCAGGTAGTTAACAATTTTCAAGTTAGTTTGTATGGTGATGTTAAGTCCATGTGTCTTGAAGCGTCTTGTGATGTCTTTTCTGGTGCGTTCAGCTTGTGGTCCGGAGATGTTTCTGAAGATGGCAAGTCCGTCGTCTCTGTAAAGTCCGATGTTGTCTTTCCCGTATGTGTTACATAGGTCGTTGAGGATGAATAAGCCTACAAGCTCGCATATTTCGGCTCCGTCGTAGCTGCCCAT